TTCTGTTAATTCTAGGATACATACTCTTCCTCCTAAGTCCTTTGTAAAACACCTAGCCAAGGAGCTCAGAAAATTAAAAGATAGAAAATGAGTTCATTAAGGAAACTTTCTCTTTTGATTAGGGTTGTTGTTGTGGCTGTTAAGAGAAGTAGCTGGGCTGGGCAAACGGAAGTGTGTGTGTGTGTGTGTGTGTGTGTGTGTGTATGCATGGGCATGCACATGAGTGTGCATGTAGCTTGCAGATACAGCTTCCTGATGAATGAGGAGACAGGGAAAATCAAAGTAGGTTGCTTGAGAACCAGACTCTAGGAGCAATGGGTCTGGTTTTGAAACTTGATGTCACAACTTCCTATCTTATTGATGTTTAACAAGTTACTTTTAAGTTTCTTTCTGTATCAGAGAAATTATGTGAAAGATGTGTTATAACCTGAAGAAATTTAGAAAATATACACTATAAAAAAGAATCAGTCGTGACTTAATTAATAGTTGCTTCAAACTCATTGTGACTTATGGTTTAAAGTTTTTGTGGTCCATGAATTCCCATAGAAATATTAACTTTATACTCACTCACAAGTAGCTAAATAAGTCAAGTAATTAGGAGAGAAAAGTATTTTTTATTGAACAAGAAATAAAAAAGAAAACTACCCCATATTCACAGATGTAGTCATGGTGTCTATGAAATTAAGCAGTAAGGCAGTGGCTTCATAAGTAACTGATTGTACTAATAAATTAAACTGTAAGAGTGTTAACATAATCAGGACTTACAGGTAGCAAACTAACCTAAGGGTAGTAGTTAATCCTTGGAAAGAGAGCCAGAAACAATGGGCTAGAATGGCAATCTTGTTGCTTTAGTGTGGATGCAGAAAACAAATGATGCAGAAAACAAATATCCAAATGAAAATCAACATACTAAGAAACTAATAGGACTACAGATGAAACTTGAATCTGTAAGGAAAGGGGGAGCAGAACAGAAAGAAGACAGGATACAAACTCACTGCCAAAACAAATTTATTCAAGGGAAAAGGAATTTGCAGAGATAGCCAACTTTGGAGTGGCGGAGGGTCCAGTTCCTCCAGAGGGCTGGGTATTACATACCTTAGGGTGGGGTAAGGGGCTGGAGGAGGCGGGGAAGTGGGTGGAGGTGTTTCTTCTCACTGGTTTTTCTTGGGCTTTCAAACCGGGAAAAGAATGCAGGGGGTGGGGCGGGGAACAGTACTGGTGTGGGAGTGAACTGGTCTCTTGAAGGAATGTAGGAGTAAAGGAGTCCATTGAGGAATTTGATTTACTTTCAGGCAAGGAACTAAAATGGCTGAGGCTTATGTCTTTGTTCCATCAGAACCCAGGCACTTTTGATATGGAGTTTGGGTATCCCAATCAGTGTTTTAACTACAAGCCCAAATGCTTTCCCCAATGCTGGCATCATGACCAGTTGGTCAAATACCTACCCCAAAAGGCAATTTTGAAAGAGTCTCACGTCTTGATTAGACAGCTGTTTGTTGCCAATTAAAGGCAGAATGCATCTGTATTCACCATTCAAATATGCCTACATTGACTACATTATTGTCTGTTCACCAAATGAAAGGCAGAGAGAGAAAGAGAGGTCTTCCATCCACTGGTTCACTCCCCAGATGTTCACAATGGCCAGAGCTGTTCCTATCTGAAGCCAGGAGCCAGGAGCTTCTTCCGGGTCTCCCATGTGGGTGCAGGGGCCCAAGGACTTGGGTCATTTGCCACTGCTTTCCCGGGCCATAACAGAGAGCTGGATTGGAAGTGGAGCAGCTGGGATTTAAACCGGTGCCCATACGAGATGCTGGCACTGCAGGCGGCAGCATTACCCGCTATGCCACAGCACTGGCCCCAGTTTATTTGATCTTAAGAACTACTCTTTGAAGGTGATCATAGGGGTACTATTCTCATTTTTCCCTTTTCAGATTCAGTACAAGATTTAGGGCAATGTGGTCACTACCTGTGGTCTCTCTTTGGTCTATAGCAGAGGCAAGGCACAAACCCAGAAAATACTCACCCACCATTGTTAGTTTTGTCACCAAATAATAATATCAATAATTTGAAATCCTCACTTCAGATCAATACTGTGACTACTGAAGAAGTAGAGCTATGGGCGGACGGTAGGTAAAAGGATGAGAACACGGAGAGAAGAGGAAAAGGAGGGATAAAAAGGCCCAGCCAGAATAACCCAGGGGAACGGGGAATGCAGAATTCTCTGTGAGGGGAACAGGGAATAAGCATGCGGAGGGTCTGGGAATGGGACTCACCGGGTGCAGGGTGCATGGATGTCCTGGTTGACACATTCTTCTAAATACTGGGCTGCGTAGATTTGTCACTTTGCCAGACATTTTTTTTTGATAGTTTTGTTTTGTTTTGTATTTAAATTGTATTTTGGTTGTTCCTTAATGGGAAATAGTTTATCTGATTTATTTTCATTCTTGGAAGTTTTTATTTGATTCTTTGACTTTCCTTTCTCCTTTTTTGTGAAAAAAATAATTCAAGTAGATGTTTATTTTCTCTGAGATATACTTTTATGTATGCATTTTAAATGGCTTCAGTTTTACAAGTGAGTTTGAGAACTCTGAATTCAATCTGTCTCTCGCTCCTTATCTATTTGGTTATTATGTTTGAAAAACTCCTCAGTGTTGAGAGAATCTACATTTATTCCAGGAGTAGAAAAAATTTAACTTCAATCTATTCCTCAACAATCAGCCAACTTCCCAGTAATAGAGCTGGAGAATTTTCTAATATAAATCTCAATCCTTTCTTAACTGGCCTTGCATCAGAAATCAGAGGACTCATCTGTACAGTGCACCTTTTGGTTTAACACTAACCTACAATATGGTTTTGTAAGCAGCCTTTTTTAAAAAAAAAAGATTTATTTTATTTATTTGAAAGTCAGAGTTACAGAGAGAGTTAGAGACAGAGAGAGAGGTCTTCCATCTGCTGGTTCACTCCCCAGATGGCTGCAGGAGATCCTTCCGGGTCTCCCACGTGGGTGTAGAGGCCCAAGGACTAGAGCCGTCTTCTACTGCTATCCCGGGCCATAGCAGAGAGCTGGATTGCAAGTGGAGTAGCCCGGACTTGAACTGGCACCTATATGGGACGCTGGAGCCTCAGGCCAGGGTTTTAACCCGCTGTGCCCCAAGCAGCCTTATTTTTTTACTGCCTTGATTTTTCCCTCACCTGAAATCAAGTGATGTTCCTTTTACTCCTAGTAATTTCTCAAGGTAATCTAAAATATAATATAGGATGAATAATTTTACAACACTGGGTTCATTCTATTTGTCTTCTCTGAATTTTTTCTATATTCATTCAGTTAGCTAGAACTCAAATGTCTAATAGAGGCTATAAATTCCTCTCTAGGTGGGAATCACTGCTCAAGTTGATTAATAATAAAAAAAGAAAAAAAAAGAACAGAACAAAAGGGAGGAAAATCTGTTTGGTTGCATTAAAATGCATGTATCTCCGTGTTTGGGCCTTCTGACCAGGAGGATGTATACTTGGCAGTTTCATGAGCAGGAGAGAAAGAATACCATCTAGTCATATTTATTTATTTATTTATTTATTTTGTTTTTTTGACAGGCAGAGTGGACAGTGAGAGAGAGAGACAGAGAGAAAGGTCTTCCTTTTGCCGTTGATTCACCCTCCAATGGCCGGTGCAGCCGGCGTGCTGCGGCCGGCGCACCACGCTGATCCGATGGCAGGAGCCAGGTACTTATCCTGGTCTCCCATGCATGGGGTGCAAGGCCCAAGCACTTGGGCCATCCTCCACTGCACTCCCTGGCCACAGCACTCCCTGGCCTGGAAGAGGGGCAACCAGGACAGAATCCGGCGCCCCGCCTGGAACTAGAACCCCGTGTGCTGGCGCCGCAAGGCGGAGGATTAGCCTATTGAGCCGCGGCGCCGGCCACCATCTAGTCATTTTAACGGTTTCAAAAGTTGCAATAGTGTGACCTTATAGATAAATTTGATGGCCCTTAAATTTCATCAATTGCAAGAGAAAGATATTGTAGCCTTTCTATTGCAGTAATATGAATTTAATATTTTTAAAAATTTGAATGGGGGAGTTAGGGTGGAGAGCATGAGAGAGAGAGAGAGAGAGAGAGAGAGAGAACCAGTAGATATATCTTCTATCTGCTGGGTCCCTCCTCAAGTACCTGTTACAGACCACAGGGTCAGCTGACAGAAGTGAGAAGCCAGGAACTCAATCTAGGTCTCCCACATGGGTGTCAGGAACTCATTTACTTGAGCCGTCACCACTGACTCCTAAGATCCGCATTAACAGGAAGCTTGAGTCAGTACTCAGAGCCATAGATTGAACCTGGGTTACTGTATGTAGGATATGGGCATATTAATGGCTAGGCTACAAGTCCTCCTCAGTAACATTTATTTCCATACATGAATAGTTTATATATAAAATATGTCTTCCTAAATACTATCTTTAATCTGGGCTGTTTGTCCATACCTAGGCCAAAGCATTCACTGGCTTTGTGAAAAGGGGGCACATTTAAGGATTCTGCTCTTGCAAAAGCAAATGACTATTAACTTCAAACAGAGTAACAGAACCAAAAAAGAAAGAGCAGCTTTGCCAAAGCTTACCTTTCTGTTAGACTGTGTGGGGATAAAGCTTTTACTTCTTAGAGGAAAAAGAGAGAGAGAGATGACATGAGAGGTTCTGACATGCAGGCAAGTATAGGAGCTGCACAATATTCCAGCATAAGAGAGGATCACTTGATTGATTTCCTTTGAGATTTTGTGAATTCTCAGGACATTTGACACATTTCAGAAATGTAATGCATATTTCAAAATCAGTGTGACTATGGTGACTTGCTGTCCATGCCCCCATCTGGAATCTCAGATCTAAGTCCCCCCACGCTCTGCCACCCGGCACACAGCAGAAAATTGAGGAATGTAGTTTGTTCGTGCACTGTACACCGTGCATTTGTTTCACAAATTTATGTGTTGACAGTGCATGAAATAAAATATTTCAGATCCTTCAGAGAAACTTTACAGCCCAACCTCAGAAGAGTTACCAGCCTTCAACAGCCTTTTGCTGGATCTAAGTCAGACTTCCACAGGCTGCGTTACAACCGCCCAAATGAGGGGTCCCTGTGGAGTTGAGGAATGGAGGTAAGTTAAGCCTGTAGCTTTATATGTAAATATAGTGCATAGTAAAGCTTTGACAATGCCCAACTAGTTTTCTTTACTATACAAAGGAAAATTGTCCTCCCGTGTGTACTTTATGTCGCCATTCTTTGTGACCAGTTTGGGTCCTTTGCTGACCTATTATTAGGCTATAGTAAAAGACTTACCAAGTTGTTATTTCAGTATGAAGAAAGAGTTGTCTGCTGCACAATATGTATCATAAAAATGAAAAAGCTCTTGGAATTTAATAATCCTTCAGTATTTTCTCTTATTCTGAAAAACAGTTCCCTTACATGAATTAATAAACCTAATAAATTTCAGTATTTTGCATTAATAAAATTTTATCCAATGTGTATACATTTTTAGGATGTAATGGTGAGAAACTTTTAATTGAAATTCTAGGGATTATTAATGATATTTTAACTTGTACCATTTCATTCTTTCCCCCTATTAGTACTAGTGGCCATGGTGATAAGTTTATTAAGAATGTAGGTCTTCCTAATATATGCTTCAGAAAAGCAGGCATGTCAGTTTATTATTGACATACTAGAATTCTGTGAAGACAGGAGGGTTTTTTTTTCTAGAAAATCTAACGTAAATATTAAATAATAGACCCTTGTATTGTGAATTCCTTTGGTTGAAATATAATATTGCAGTAAAATTAAAATCAGGTTTGTCACTATGTTTCGGAAGGAGGAAATCATTTCACTCAGTCACAAAAAGTTGCTACCTTACTCTTACATTCTCTTCTTTTCTTGGACCAGAGAGAATTTTATCACAGATCTGCGCTGGTCCACAGTTCAAAGTTGATGGGCTGATTTAGCCTTTATTGATCTTAAAAATAGTACAGAGAACAGTGATATCCACCATAGGAAGAAGTATTTTACATTATTCAATGGCATATATAGGCTGAAACTCTAGATAAAGCAGGACCCCCAAGTTTGACTTTTGTAGGATCTTCTACAGTTCCCCCACACTACCTATGTTCCTAATATGTCCCAATACCTCAGAGCCAGAGCTTCTACCAATCCCACCCCATAATAAAATGCAACAAAATAAAATAACAAACAATTGCTGCCATTAATTTTGGCATTGGCATATCTTGACTGGGGACCCACATAGTCCTAATTTACTGTACACAGAAGAGGTGATTTATCTGACAGTCTATTCATGGGGATTCTATTAAACAGCCAATGTCCTGATGAATGTTGTTAATGATGACCCCGAGGCTCTGTAAGATTCTGAAGTGCTTTCTGAATCATCTATGAAAGATACAACAGGAGCCCATCAAATCTTCCCTCCTTGGTTCCACTGTGGCTTTATTTTTTGGGAGAAGAAGAATGATAAAAATTTCTTAATAACAGGAGGGTGGGTATATTGGGCACATTGAAAATTATCGTCCCAGTCTGACACAGCTCCCTCACGTCTGCCTGCCTCCCCCGATGTCAATGGATGTTGTATTGATTAGAAGATAAACGAAAAGTTGAAACCTGGTTCTGTATACTGTTTATTGATCCTTTAATGTATTTCTAGCTCTTCTGGAAAAGATACTGAAATCCAGTCTTTGCTGTCACTTTCTGAGAGCAGTACAGATGAGGAAGAAGATCTGCTTGACAAGCAACAAGTCATCACACTACCATGGTTGGAGAGTACTTAATGGTCATTTGATGATTACTTTTCTGTTTTATACCCAAAGTGAAGCCAACAGCTGAAAAAAGCAAATAACCGATTACCTGTCCAGGTGCTGGAGATTTTGATTATTAATGTCTCAAGGCTCGCAAACTAATAAAATTTAGTGAAATTACAAGTTTAAGGGCTTTTCTTCCAAATTATATAATGAATGACAAATAATAATCTATAGTGTATGTCATTTTAGTAAAATTTGCTGAATTTTAAGAAATAATAGTTAAGATAATGAGATCTGTAGTAGCAATATTATTTTGTTCTGTTATAGGTTTTGACATTTATAGAAGTTCTGGTAGCTTTGAAAGTTGATGCAAGAAGAAAAAATGAGGACCCAAAATAAAGTGTACTTAATACTTGTCATACTGTTTTGTAAAATGCAGGAAAGATCCCAATCACCTTTTTTGGGAATGTCAATGCAATGGTTAATCTTATGTATACTCAGGAAAATAATAATAATAATAATAATACACAGGAAAATACTTTGCTGGTGTTGTCTAGTAGTGGATCCTCAGATGGATGTTCAAGGGTTTATATAATCATAATATTCAAGGGCTTCAGAAAGAAAGCAGGAGAAGACAGAAGGGAGTTAGTTTTGTGGTCACTTTGTGTCATTTTACCACAATTTTCCCTTACAGGATTTATTGACTGCTCAGAAAAATATCCTGGAGGGCTGGCTGTTTCACCACAGCATGACTGTGCCTTGGGGTTCAAACACTCTTGTTCTTTTTGATTCTGGATAGTGACCAGTTTTAAAAGATTGATGATTGTTAAGTGTAGATTGGTCTTCGGTACTTTTTCAAGGTCATCAATAAATTGTACTGGAATTCCCACACTTCATTTGCTGATGGGATAGACCATGATGATGAAGAGATCAATATTGTTTCTCTGTAATTTAATATCAAATGGGCCTTTATTGAAAGTGATTAACATAAGTGGACAATAAGAAATAAAAAAAAAACAGTCATTATCAGAATAAAATGTTGCAAAAGAAATAAATGTCTTTTAAAAGAGTGTGAATCATTCATTTTTATCTTGCTGTTAATACTTCTTCTGTCACAATTACGTAGAAAGATGAGTCCCCCTTGAATCTTCATCATTTGTGTCAAAAACTATTTGGGCATCTTTTCATGAGACTGATGATTTTCTGAGTTTTAACAAATGCAGTTAAAAATGGGGATTAGCTGTTTATTGGTTAACATAAGAAAAGATTTTGGGGAGAACCTGTGCTGTGGCATAGTAGATAAAGCCTTTGCCTGCAGTGCCAGCATCCCATATGGGTGCCAGTTCAAGTCCAGGCTGCTCCACTTGCAATCCAGCTCTCTGCTATGGCCTGGGAAAGCAGTAGAAGATGACCCAAGTCCTTGGGCCCCTGAACTCTGGTGGGAGACCCGGAAAAAATTCCTGGCTCCTGACTTCAGCTCTGCCGTTGAGGCCAATTGGGGAGTGAACCAGCAGATGGAAGGATGGAAGGCCTCTCTCTCTCTCTCTCTCTCTCCCTCTCCCTCTTTCTCCCTCTCACTCTACCTCTCCTTCTCCCTTTTCCTCTTGCTCTCCTCTATGTAATCATGACTTTCAAATAAATAGAATCTTAAAAAAAAAGTTGTGATAGTAGATTTTCTTTTTTAACACTTTTTTTTTCCGTTTTCAGTATTCTTGACTCTGTCTACCCTTGTTTGCTTTAAGACACCATCTTTGCGTTCCCTTCTTATGAAGAAACAAATGTTCCTTTGGGGATGATTCCCAACACTTGGGAACATCTCTCAAAGTGCAAGGCCATATCCTATTCTTCTTAGGGTTATATTGGCCCACTATTATTCCTTTTGTAAATTCAGCTACATCTTGAGTCTTGTGAACTGGCTCAGAAGAAGATTTTAACAATGCCAATACCTTTTTTTTAATTTATTTATTCATTTGAGAGGTAGAGTTACAGAGAAGCAGAGGCAGAGGCAGAGAGAGAGAGAGAGAGAGAGAGAGAGGTCTTCTATCCGCTGGTTCACTCCTCAAAAGGCTGCAACAGCCAGAACTGGGCCGATCCAAAGCCATGAGCCTGGAGCTTCTTCCTTATCTCCCATGTAGGAGTAGGGGCCCAAGGACTTGGGCCATCTTGTACTGCTTTCCCAGGCCATAACAGAGAGCTGGATCAGAAATGGAGCAGCCAGGACTTGAACATGTGCCCATTTAGGATGGCAGCACTGCAAGCTGTAGCTTTACCTGCTATGCCACAGCACTGGCCCCACAAGTACCTTTAAACATTTAATAATTTTTAAATGAAAATTAAACAGAGTCGTCAGTGCAATACCGGCCAAAACTTGAGGAAAGGAGCATGCCACTAATTCTGTCATTTGACCTCCAATAGGACGTTGATATCAAACATGAGAGTCGCTTGTGGCAAAGCAGAGAAGACCCCCTTCTGCCTCTATTTGCTTCCCATAACCACACATTTAGAAAAGTTCCTTAATTCTATTGCCATTAGTCTAATGAGGAAATAAAAACTCAATGAGATTACAGCCTTTGCCCGAAGCAGCTTCATTGTGTTCTCTCAATCTTAAAATAGCTCCTGAAAGCCCACACCTACTTCTGCCTGTGGAATTGAGAACATTACAAATTTTTCCAGAAGAAGCCCTGCCATTTTACTGACACTAGAGTCAGTACAGTGTGCCTCCAGCAACTATGGGATAAATGACCTCATAATTTTGCATTAAGCATGTTGGGAGTTGGTAAATTATACCCAGACTTATCTATTGCTGTGATAGCCACAAGAGATTCTGTAATTTCACAGTTCTGTACATAAACATTGAGGGTGAAAATTGACATGAAATTGTATTTGATAGCTTTAAAATTTTTCTTAAAAACCACTGAAATCTTTCATGTCTAGTGCACTCTGTGTCACGCAACAGGCCAGTGGCATCAGATTCCCTTAAGATCACTTGCTATGCCTTATATGTGGAGTGCACAGAAAACATTTCTTGAACAAATGAATGTTACAAAATGGCATCATTGCTGCAGTAGGGCACTCAGATATTTTAAATAATACCTTGATTCAGAAAAAAACCTGGTTCTTTCTTACCCACCAATTCTATTTTTTGAAAATCTTGAACAATGTTCATGTTTTCCTGCTTTTGGAACATGCTATTTCTCATTTTTTAGTACTCAAAAAGGCTTTAATATCTCTACAAATTAATTTCCCTTCTCTCTTTTCCTTTCACATGGTGTTCTACTTTTTCCTTTGTCACACATATATTACTAATGTATGTGTGTTTTGAAAGTATGGTCTCTCTCTCTCTCTTTTTTTTTTCCAGACAGAGTTAGACAGTGAGAGAGAGAGAACAGAGAGAAAGGTCTTCCTTCCATTGGTTCACTCCCCTAATGGCCTCTACAGCCGGTGCTGCGCTAATCTGAAGCCAGGAGCCGGGTACTTCCTCCCAGTCTCCCATGCGGGTGCAGGGACCCAAGCACTTGGGCCATCCTCCACTGCCTTCCTGGGCCACAGCAGAGAGCTGGACTGGAAGAGGAGCAACTGGGACTAGTACCCAGCGCCCCAACTGGGATTAGAACCCGGGGTGCTGGTGCCACTGGCGGAGGATTAGCCAAGTGAGCTACAGCACTGGCCAAAGGAATGGTCTCTCTACTAGACATCAAGTTTGGACAAAACATGGATTAGCTCCATTCTTTTCATGATTAAATGCTTAGCTGCTAGCAGATGTGCAGCTCAGACTGGGAGAACATTAGTGAATGAATGAACATGCAGGATCCAACATATTAGCCCCTTTAACCCCGACTTTCCCTAAGGGGATACAATAATATAAGCATTGAGAGAAACACAGGGTCTGTTTTCAAGTTGTCAGGTTACATTATTTAATAGTTGGAGCACCATTTATTTGAATGTAATTTTTCATTATAAAATGGGAAGAAAGATACTGACTTTACTTGGCTCAAACTAATGTTGTGAAAATCAAATGAAGTAAACAATCAGAAAACACTTGGGATCTGGAAAGTGGTTTGCCGTGCTTCTTATTATCATTTTTTGAGTTATGAGGCAATCATTGAATATACAGACAAATTAATGTTGGATCAAAGAATGAATTTAGGAGCAAGTTTACATAAATAATCCACAAAATCTCTTAATACCAGAAGTAAGGAATGCTCTCAATGTATTGAACACATGAATTGAATGATGTATAATTCATTGGATGATGTATAATGCTGGTTTATGCTAACAGCTATGTCTCTAAATTTATTAAAAATCTTTCCAAGACATTTTCCATATGTTTTAACTTCCACCATGTGTATATTCAGTTTTAAATACTAAAATTGTACCAGTGCTTACAAGCACCCTGTACATCATGCTTCCACAGAGGAAACATTTTAAAAATACAATTTATGCCTCCCCAAACCTGTTTTTATAGGATATTCTGTCTCATCATAATTTTCATCCCTTGTTATTTATTACTAGCTACATTTGCATAAAAACAATGTTTATTTCCTCAGAGTTCTGAGCCAGTAGTTTATCCCCCACCTTAAAGTCATAATTCTTTGTTAGTGACACCCTGATTGTTTGCTGGGTAAATGATTATGATGTTGCAAACAAGATTATGACTTTAGCTGGGGAATAACCAGCAGGCATAGATGAGCTATAAGGAAATAACAATCCTGCTCTCTTAATGCAAATGTCTTTCATAGTTAAGGAATAAGAGAGGATTTCTTAACATTCTCTGTAAGGTGATAGTTGTGTTTGAAATAAAAAGCATTAATTGATTGATTGGAGTTTCTTAGTTCAAATACATGAAATACCCATGCAATAAAACTTATGAAAATATAGTTCTGAAAGAACTTCCTACATCTTGTTCCTTTAGCAGAAGGGAGCAATCCATGTATTGCTTTCTATCCAGAAGAAAAAAATACATATTGCTTTAGATACAGATTCTTTAAAGATTTCCAAGGGTAAAGGAGGAATTCACTTCCAGACAACTTTACAGTTAATTAAATCTTACATATACAACATAAATATGAAATAATTGTTTCAGGGTAACTTTTTATATGATTTCATTTTTTTGACATATAATTGTCATATTTTATAGAGAAACATTTGGTGTTGTTTATTCAAATGGCAACAATATGCTTAAATAGCTCTGCCCATCAAAATATGAGAGCTAACAGTCTGGACAGGAGATAAACAAATACACATTTTATTTTCCAAAAGTATTTATCACATTTACTTTCTCTTCTGACTTCCTATGCCATAACTCTAGAAGGGTATCTTGTAGGTTAGGCTATTGAATTAGTTAGGATTTGATTTAATTTTATATTAAAAGCATCAAATATCATCAGAGTAAGATAGAAGTTAGTTCATTTTGTATGGAAATTAAGTCTGGGTGTACACAGTCAAGAACCACTATTGCAATTTATCTACGTTGTTTCCATCCACTAGGTCACTTTGTCATTCAAAATGCTTGTAGGTCTCCAGCCATATTAAGAAGGGGCAAACAAGAAGAGCAAAATAGGCACCTCCTAGCTCAGGTAATTTTCCTTAAAGCAGTCATCCTTGGAGGAAGTCTCATGCACCAGTTCTGACTAGAACTTAGTCACAGCTACATCAAAGGGACTTTAGAAATGCAGTCATTTATGTAGGCACATTACTGCTCTGAATAAAACTGGGATTGTGTTACTAGGAGAAAAGAGGGTAGGAGACAATGAAGGCAACTGGCATCTCTGTCAGCCTCTAATACCATCGTTATTATTAGAGCAGGTGTGTCATCTAGCAGTTAAGATACTGCTTGGGACATCCACATGCTCTAGCAGAGTGCCTGGGATCAAGTCCTGGGTTCACTTCCAATTTGACTTTCCTGCTAATGTAGACTCACGGTTGTTATGGCTTAAATGCTTGCATTCTTGCTAATCACGTGGGAGACCTGGATTAAGTTTTTGACTCCCAACTTCAATCTGGTCTAACCCAACTCTGCTGAGCATTTGGGGAGTGAACCAGTGA